ATACATTCCACAACTATATATTGTTTAATTTAATTAAACTACTATTTAGAGACAATATTCCATATATGACACGTATACGTTGATAAGAACAAAGGAAACTAAAAAAATAAGGAAACTAAAAGAAGAAGGGAAACTAAAACAAAATAAAAATTAGATGGGTTTCAATGGTCCTCCAACAGTCATGACCAAGAATTTTTTATAATTTTTTTTTTAACAACACTTGAACACATTTTAAAAAAATTACCACATAAGATATTTTTTTTAAATGAAAAAAAAATAAGGGTTGCAATGGTCTGACCTCAACGGTCATGACCAATAATATTTTATACTTTTGTCTTAAACAACATCAATTGAAGCATTTAAAAAGGCTTTTAAAAATACATATATGTCCAGCTGACGTCATTAATGATGTCAGCGTGCTTTACTTTTGACTGTTGAAAAGCAAATGCATGGCCCCACAAAAATTTGGCCTAGGCCAAAGCTGGGCTGCATGTAGCCCGATTGGAGTGCTAAAGGGCCATGTGGCCCTCCAAATTTAGCCAAAATTTTGTTTTGCCCATGGCTAGAGATGAATTTTGCATTATTTTAGGGCCATATTTGGGATATAGCCCATGGCTGGAGATGGCCTAAAAATCATCATTTCAAGGACAGACATTCATTCCACGGAGTTAATTTCCGGTGCAGCGTACTTTTCAGTACGACACAAGAGGGGAGGAGCTGCAAAATTAAACCAATTTCGCAGAGAACTCACGCCAAAGCATAAACAAGTCAGCTTTGTTGTTCGAAATGCAATTCATCAGTGGAAATTCAAACTATTATCCTAATATAGCAAATGGATTTCTTTTATTTTTTGGGTGAAAAACAAATAGCTTTCACTACCAAGCTGTGTTTTCATTTAAATTGTGAAATTGAATTTCTCGTCATTAAGAGACAATATACTATCAAGGACAGAACATTCAACACCAAACACAGTCAAAACTAGAATTACAAAATGTTTATTACTGCACTCTAAATTCCTTGCTATGGATCAACGAACTTTACGAACTTTTTCTTCCTGCCCTATCCCAAGTGATTTCTGCGCACTTGCAATACCTTCAGGATCTGCAATACAAGAACCACATTAATCAGATTACAATGTCAAAGGTTTTATCAGATGCCCAAGTTTTCAATTATCTGGCCTCAAGTAGGGATCAAGTGCATGCACGTCCAGGAAAAGTTTTACTCAGAATTACGTTCAGAAGTTTTGTTGGCCGATCATGAGCATGAAAGTTTCCCTTCCCACATTATAATGAACCACATTGAGAGAAATAATTGATCTCTCTCACTTTAATTTAATAAGATATAAACAGTTTAAAGCTATATATTATGCTTCTACTAGCATATAAAGATAGCTATAGTATTGCCACTTCATACACGGCAACCGCAGGTTGAGGGCACGGGGTCCCAGTCTTTTTTTATCTATTCTTTTCTGATTATTTTTAATGTTATAACATCTTGGCATCTACAAAGTGTAAGCACATATACGTACCAAAAAATTGTGTGAAAATACGAGTGAAGAAGTTCAAGTTGCGGGAGACATTGTACGCCATGAGAGGTGGAAGAGGTTTCACAACA